TACTACTGGAAAAACCATAGCTTTGACTATGCGGATCTTTGTCGGCAAGGTGATGTCTCTGCTTAACTTTTGTTATAAGGTTTTCAAATTCAGTCAAGTCTCTCAGTACTCCCCCTTGTTTTTGCAGCTCTTTTAAAGCTACAGGATACTGCTTATTTGAAGAAATCAAACTGGTCAGGATGTATCGATTCAATTAAAAAATAATTCTCTTTTCAAGTATTGCAGTAAAAAGCTTGTAGTCTACATTCAATAAAGAAATAGGTCTATATGACTTTTTATGAGTTGGATCATTTCTTTTCTTGTAGATCAGAGAGATGAAGCTTCTTCATGTTGTTAAATCTCATTCATTACCTAGATTAATGCTTTGACCAAAATTTCTTGAAAAGTCTTCTAGTATATTGTAGATATACCATCAGGTCCTAAGTTCTTAGTTTCAGTTTTTTAAAATTGATTCTTAAGTTTCATCTTTTGTTGTAGGTTTATTAAGTACCTCCTTTTGTTGATCTGTAAATTTCATAAGTAGCACTGTATTCAAATATTCTTCAGATTTTTCTGGACCAGATGTCGGTTTTTGATATAATCTTGAACAGAATTTAACCCATTGCTCCATCATGCAATCTTGAGATATGTGAATTTTACAAGTATATCACATGGTAATTTTCTTCTTCGTGCTGTCCATAAATTTATTCTATAGATATCTTGAATTTCCAAAGTTTCATCTACAACTAAGCCAAGATAAGTTTTGAGTACGTTTTTTATTTCTCTTTTCTGTATGTTCTTTTTTGAAATCCTCAGATATTCTTCCGAACTTTACAAGGTTCTGCTTCAGCTATTTCCAATTTAGCTTCCAACTTCTTTAACTCTGTCTTTTGGGTTTTCTGAACTGAATACAACTCCTGACGTTCTTGTCTTCAGATCTTTAATTTCTTTATCCTGGTGTTCTAATTTGGCTATGAATTTGTAGTATTTATCACAAAAATAAGCCTTAAAAGGATCCAATTTGACTTCCATATCTTGTTATTTTTGTTGAATTATTTGTTGATTTTATTTTCTATTATCCATTATCTTCCATTGTGCTCAGTTTGCGTGTGAGCAGGTTGTTATAAAGTAACAGATGAATCAGTATGTGGGGCCTCTTCTGTTTTTTAATGTCTCCTCCTTTCTGTATCATCTCATTACAGAGATATAAAAAGTGATGTTATGCCCAGAATTTCTTCTCATTAAATAGCATTGGAACCCATTATACAGTTAAAAGTAAAATATTAGATACGAAAAAAAAATCAATAGTTCAAATTCAGTGATACCTAGATACTATAAGAATGTCCAATTAATATATTTTAAACAAAAAGGCATAAAGACAAAATATTTTCTTTAAAAAAATACAAATCTTAAAGCTGTACCCTAGCTATACATAAAACTCTTCAAAGAAACTTTTAAAAATCCTGTCATTATTAATCCTTATACTAAAAGTTCAAGCATTTTCTACGGTCTAAATGTCTTAAGTTTCATTTCAAAGTTGAAAAGCTAGAATAGACTTCCTTTATGTTGGAGCTCCCTCTTGAGGTTATAAAGAAGTCTTATAAATTCCATGAAAAAGAAGAAAATATAAAAGTTTAACCTTATAAAATGCAGACAAAACAAAGCTGGTTGCAGGACAATAAACCCCAATAATGCAAATAAGATAATAATCAAAATAAATGATTTCCAGATTGGTAAAATATTTATTGTATCATTGTATCAAATATGCAGGAGTTGTTTTTTTTTACCAATCTGAGTTTCTCTTTGAGTTTCTCACAGAAAGGAAAAACAGTAATGAGCTGCCATCTGGAGTCCATTATGTAACTTTTAAAGTATCATAATACCAAGAATCTTAATACCTAGTATTCATGTATTAATATTGCATTATGAAATCACGGACTTCCTAGTATAGTGGTTGTTGATTGCTATCCCTTGATGGTTAATTGTACAGAATAATGTTTAACTCTTTTTTTGGATTCATAATCTTTCTGATCAGGTATAATAAGCCAGATCTCAGTCTTAAACCTTAGGCAGGAAAATGCAGCTGGTAAGTTTCAATGGAATTCAAAAGGTCCCATATGAACAATCCGTTTTAAATATGTTGGGGAGGAAGAGAAATGGTGTACCATCTCTGTCTGGCTTTTACCCTGCCTATTGCCAGCTGACAGCCTCTAATAGGGCAACTTCAAAGGGGAAAAAATATTAGATACGAAAAAAAAATCAATAGTTCAAATTCAGTGATACCTAGATACTATAAGAATGTCCAGTTAATATATTTTAAACAAAAAGGCATAAAGACAAAATATTTTCTTTAAAAAAATACAAATCTTAAAGCTGTACCCTAGCTATACATAAAACTCTTCAAAGTTTTATGGACCTTCCTGGACCAAGGACAGGAGTGGACAACCAGTGATCTTCCAGTTGTTGAATTAACACTGATGGTGATTTTAGCCTTAGAACATGCTGGCTAGAGCTGCAAGGAGTTGTATTTTAGCAACAGGTTCAAAGTCTCCACTTCTATTACTATTCAGGACCTGCTTTATTAGTACTTAGATTCTGTGACATGCAAACAGTTTTTCCCCTTGTTCTTTATTGTGTAGTGGCAGGTTTAGGTCATGGAACTTGTATTATATCATTAAGTTAGCTTACTCTTAAGGTGGATTCATAGCTAAAGTAAAATGCCAGTCACCTCTGTTTAAATCTTGGTCTTTGCCTTTTAAGATAATGTCAGTGGTATTATTTTGGTAGGTTTATTTCTAAATTGAAGTTTTTAACACACCACATTACATAAAATATACGAGTAATTTATGTTGCAACTATTAATGCATAGGATTAGTGAATTAGAAATGTAAAACTAGTAAACGTCTCAGAGTCAAATGTTGATACTACATATTAAAAAGTTACATTATTTTTCTGTAGAACAGTCATTAGTCATCTTCATGCTGAATACTGTCTCTGAAAGAACTGTGGTGGAATCTTAAGTGTGTCTACCTAGAAGTAAATCCAGTTTGTTCAGTTGGTTTATTCCGAGGGAAGTATATATAACGATGCTTCTTTACTGTTGTTTTTATGAAAGTGTATATAACGTTGAAGCGGGGTGCTGGTTGGAACATTGGAATTTTAAGAACATGTTGGAATAAAACCATTACTGTGGGCGGCATGTCTACTCACAAATCACATACTGATGAGGTTGTTCCCTAGGAGGTTACTTTCATCTCAGCTTACCTTTGCTATTTTTCAGGACAAGTGGGCACATTTCCAAATATGGTGCTGGACTGTAGCCATCCACCATTTTTACTTAGTAACAGTAGTTAAGTAGTTTCAGAAGCATTTATGGAAATAGACATGGTACTAGAGGCTGGTGCTTTTTTCTTGAAGCATGCTACCTTATTTAAATGTCATTTTAATTATTTTTAATAATTAGATAAGCAAGAAATCTATTGAGCGCCAGGAGAAGTGTCTGTCCACAGACTGGTTTCCAGAACCATGAGTTGCCTATCCATATTATAATGTTTTCTACAAATATAGTGCTTAATTAATCAGAGTATTTGATTAAAATACTTGTAATTAACTGAAAAAGTATCCCCTTTTAATATGTTTATGTCAGCCCTTCAAAGTTGACCAGTTCTATAGGAAGACTAAAAATATACCTTGTTGAGATTGGCTATAATAGCAGTACCTTGCAAGTCTGATTGTGTTTATCTTTCCTCTCTCTTATATCCTGCCTGACTCTTTTCCAAATACTATCTTGTTTCCCAGGACTTAAGGAATATTTCAGCCCTCTTTGTGTAATGGTTCTTGCCATTTCTCTCAAGGTCATTTCCCTGAATCTCTGCAGTTTTACAGTTATGACCAGAATTATTTCTCTTTCAAATTACTTTAATCTGACTGTTACAAAATTATTTTATTTACTATTTTAGTACTATCAACCTGATATTGGAATGAGAGGACCCTTGACTCCACCAGCAGATAATCATGATGCAGGAAAAGTGAGTAATGCTATTCTATATTCTATTCTGTTCTGTTCTATTCTTTTTCATTCAGTTCCATTCCATTCCATTGAATAGAAACAACAGAGTCCAAGGCAGCTTAAATGCCTGCAAATTTATCATGGCATTATAGAAGTTCGTCCCCTCTCCCTTACCATCTACATTATCAGAGCATTCTTTGTATTCTTTGGATATTTGTAGGGCATTCTGAACAATTACTTGTTTATTCTGGCCCCAAAGAGGCCACAACATTTCTCTAGGTGGGAATAGTTGCTATTCAGAGAAGATATTGACAAATCTTTTGCTGCCAAGTGCTGTCTAAAGCCATTTCACCAGAACAGTTCCAGTTTCTATGACTATGTTTCATAGGACTGCACTTCTCAAACTGTACAAGGTTATATTGTACTCTGATCTGGCCAATCAGATACTAGCATGGCTTTATTGATAGATGTTTGGGTATAGAAAGATGCTTCCTTTGACAGAGCAGTGTTATCATCAGTTCTCACTTACTTGGGCATCTGCCTGCTGCCCTAAAGTAAGCTTGCTACTTACCGATAGGTGAGATGCACAACGACTACAACAAAGAGGAGCAGGAAGCTTACTTGTAACTATGATTTCTGGAACACTCATGTGTGCATTCACGCAGCCCCATTCTCTTTCCCCTCTCATGTGCCTACTTTGCTAAGTACTCCTATTGATATGACTGCTGTGTCAGTCCTTCAGAATGCAGGGAGAAAGGGAGCACTATCTTAGGCATCTGCAGTAAGACGGAGTTCCTGCTCCAAATTTCCTCAGCTATGGAATATTCCCAATGAGGCCTCTGCACAGATGCAATATCCATGTATATGAATGCAACGAAAACCACTTGAAGATACACAATTATAGAAAAGCAACCTGTTCTCAAGTGGTGTACATGTCTCAGATTTATTAGGAGACATTGTCATGGGTAGCTTAATGAAGACATTTTAATATTTTAAATATTAAAGATCATAACAAATATCATAATACTTGTGATATTTCTTAGTAATTTTGGCTATATTAAGGAATGACCAGAAGAGTATATTTCAGAATTTGGATTTAAGCTGTCAAGAATATCTTCCTCTGATTGGACTATTTGCAAAATGCAGGTGGGGTGAAGCTTACATGGGGATTTGAAGATTAGATTATAAATGTAATGGGATATGTTTAGACAAAGAATTATTCCTATTTAATGTATTAAAAACTAGCACTTATGATAGCCTTACTATTTCTAAGACCAGAGATAGATTGGAAGTTATCTATTTTTCATGTCTTCTTTCCTTTTCCTTTTCCCTTACCTCGCCTTTTCTTTTTCTTTA